GGGAGGAGACATGGAGATATATGTTTATGTATAGCTGATTCACTTTGTTATAAAGCAGAAACTAACACACCATTGTAAAGCAATTATACTCCAATAAAGATGTTATAAAAAAAAAGATTTGTGTCTTTCATTGTAGGTAAATTCTACATAAGTAGAAAAACCTGTAACCAAATATTGAACTCTAGTTAATGATGCTCATTCCAAATTATTTATTATTTAGAAGTATGTTGATGTCTGCTGTTTACTTTGAAGTGCACCAGCAGAAGAAAAGATGAATTGAAGGATGGGTTGAGGGGTTGGTACATGGATATATATGTGATACAGTAATCACAGCCACAGGTTAATAGCTGACTCTCTATGGTGAGGATATGAATGTTCCCTACAATTATTTCAATTTCCCTGAGTGTCTGAAAATGTTCATAATATAAATGGCACAGCATTCAAGTACAGCACAGAAGCTTGCCTTTCCTCAGCCTCCACAGTCTCCTAGGGATCCACAGACTGATGAGATCCGTGAGGGCTCCAGTGTCAACCCCTTAGGAGAGGGGGAGAGGCAGCACTCACTGGGACAAGAAAGGGCAGAATGGAGCTGTTGCAGAACCAAGTACAGCCCCAATCAGAGCCAAGCCCTGGCCTCCTCACCTAGTCTCATGGAACCTTTCCAGTACCATGACTGACTCCCCCCACTGTTCAGATGAAGGCTACCCTCTGGGTGTCCATACAAATGGCCGCCTACCTGGAGGGATTTCAGGGCACCAGGAAGTTCTCATCCCTTCTTTCCTCCTGTCCCCACCTGCTCATGGGTACTTCTCTTGTGAGTTTTCAGTAAGACTGCCATCCAACGGCTCTACTTGCATGTCAGCTCCATGAAGGCTGAGAACCCACAGTTACTGCTGTATTGTTAACACCTAGAGAAGTGCCCCATACACTATGTGTGTGGAAATGTGTTGGATGACAAAGGCTTTTCTTAATATACATAAAAATGAGAGTAAGTAAGGTTTGGGGACTTAAGGAGATAAACACAGCCAGACTGAATCACTAAAACCAGGGTGTGTGGGAGAGAGAAGTGCACTGTTTTGGAGGTTAATAACAGAGACAAAATAAATGGACTGGAACTTCCCAAATATTTACAATTGGAATACTGCCTTTGGCACATCTCAAGTCTATCTTGGAAGACTTGCTAGAAATATAGATTTGCATATCGGCGAGAGTCTGTTTTGCTTTCGAAATGATGGAGACAAGCCCTGCTCCGCTATCTGGAAGAGAAATGGAGGGGCAGATGATATGTAGCTAGCTAGAGAACACGATTCCTGAATGGATGGAGCTGATTCTGATGGGAATTGTACTGTTCTTTCAACTCCTTATACGCTGGAAATTTTCCAGCTAATAAATTTCGGGGAAAGCTATCAGCTTTCCACAAAATGCCCATTCAGGGCTAGAAATATTAAAAAGATTCACTGACTTTTTAGAGTGTGCAAGGACAAACAGACAAAACCAAGGGAAACTGTATAAAATAAAAACTTCAAAAAAAAAAAAACCACCCCCAAACCGAGTGAGACTTAAGTGAAACAGTCCTAGGATATGGGATCTGATGTTTCCAGCTTTAAGATAGACTACAGTTTGAATAAACAGGAACCTGAGCAGTCGTTTAAAAAAAAGGGGGGGGGGAGGACAGAACGCAGATTTTTAAAATTTCACTTCATGCCAACAGATATGAAATGTCCCATACTATATATATTGTGTTTTCCATGTCTTTTATCAGGATTGTAAGATTATACTTTTTAATGAATATTTCCCTGGAAATTAGTTCAATACATTTGGGTTATGAAGACCAAAGTCTCCCTCCAAATAAAAATAATAATTTTCAAAAGGCACAAAAGGAAAAAGCACAATAAGCTCCTCAAAAGTAGCACAAAGGAGGCAGCACATTTATGAGTGTAAATCACTAAACAAAATTGAGAGTTTCTTAAGCATGCAGGGGTTATTTATCATATTAACTGATTAAAGAAGAAATCTCAGAATAGATAAAAATCATTTGCAGTAAAATTCATCTAATAATAAGAATATGTTAAAAATAACAGTAAAAGGAGCTTCTTTAGGAAGTAAAGTGTGTCTATCAAAAAACTTTAGCAAATGTCATTCTTAATAGTGAAATATTAAACTAATTCTTTTTAAAACCAGGGATAAAATACTTTCTCACAAAAAAGAATAACTGGAAAGGAAGAAAGAAAAATTCATTATCTGCAGATAGCAGGGCTGTCTACCTCAAAGAACCTATAGTCACATTTTAAAGAAATTTTTAAGGTCAGGTTTATATATTGTACAAAATCCAACTGCGCGTATAATAAATTAGCAACAACAAAAATTTTAAAAATATTCTTTTTACAACAACAACAAAATTCTAGTGTACCTAGTAATAAATCTGTCTAAGGTTATACTATGTTTGAAAGAAATTATCAAACTCTGGGAGACACTTGGGAGATTAACATTTCTGAGGGGAAGTTCAGTTTTATAAGCGTGTCAATTTTTCTGCAAATCTATAGATTTAATACACTTTCAAAGAAAATTCCAGTAGATTTTTTTAAATTGTGGTAAAATAAACATAACATAAAATCTACTACCTTAACCATTTTTAAGAGTACAGTTCAGTGGCATTAAGTACATTCACTTGATCATGCAACCATCACCAATATGCATCTCCAAAATTTTTTCACCTTCCCAAACTGAAATTCTGTACCCAGCAAACACTAACTCCCATTTCTTCCTCCTCCTAGTCCCTGGTAACCACTATTCTACTTTCTGTCTCTATGAACTTGGCTACTCTAGACACCTTTTATAAGGGCAACTATACAAAATCTGTCCTTTTGGTGTATGCAAGTTCTTTTCTTTTTTGGAGGAACTTGACAAACTTAACTCTAAAACTTATGTGGACATGCAAAAGACCCAGAATAGCCAACAATTCTGAATTATATTTTAAAGGTAATAATATAATAATATTATATATAATAAGTACCATATAATACTATTATACTATTATAAATCTAGTGGAATTGAGATGGTGTATTGTTGAATTAAGAATATACAAACAGTCTAGGAACCAAACAGCCCCCAAATGGACTCCTGCATATATAAAAGTTTAATAAATGTCAGAGGGGACATTCCAGATCACTTGGGAAAGACAGTCAATTCAGTATATGGGGCTGGAACAACTGACAATCCCTACAGGAGAAAAAAAAAAGAAATTAAATCCCTCCCTCACACCACAGACAAAAATTTCTAATGGATTCAAGAGTTAAATGTGAAAGGTGAAACTCTCAAACTTTAAAAAGTGTATATTTCATGACGTCAAAGTAGACAAGATATGGAAAAGATTGATAAACTCAATTGTAATTTAAGAATTTCTGTTAATCAAAAAACACCATAAAGAAAATATAAGACAAGCCACAAACTTGGAGAAGAGAACTGTAACATCTAAAAGTCAATAAGACTAAGACCAAAAAAGAAAAAAAAGATGAAAGAAAAATTGGCAAAAGGCATGACAGGCGTTTCACATAGGAAGAAATACAAATGGCAAATAGGCATGTGAAAGCATACTCAGTTGTAACAGTAATATGCAAATGCAATTTTAAAGCACAGTGAGAGATCTTTTTCTTATGCTATATCGACAAAAATTAAGTCTGATAATACCAAGTGTTAGTTCCACAAGACACATGCTCCTGGTGGGGATATAAATTTGTACAATCACTGAAAAATAATTTGACATGATGTAGTAAAGTTGAACATTGGCATACCCACAACACAGCACTTTCACTCCTGGGTCATATATGCTACTGAGAAGTGTTTTTCAAACAATAGATTGCAAATGGCTAAAATGGCTCACGAAATCAGTTTAAAGGACTGAGATCAGTATTTTTAAAAAACAAAATTAAAAAATATCAGAGAGCATTATGAGTAATAGGAGGAGCATTGTTTCATGAAATGTTTGTTTCACTTGTGTCTGTGGTGGGGAGGGAGGGCAGGAGACTCTATGGGTGTGTGGGTGTCCATGGTGATGGAGAACGTATTTCTCTGAGTCACAGCAACTAAATTTGAAAGCCCTGTAGAAATTCTTGCCCACATTCCCCAGAAAACATATACAAGATTTTTCATGAGAGCGTGTTCAAAATGTCAAAAAGACAACCCAAATATCCACTGATACTGGAGATGAAAATGGATGAGCAACTTGTGGCACAGACACATGATGAAATATTATGAGCACAGACAGAAGCTCTTCAACCACACATAACCACTTGGATGAACCTGAAAACAGGAAGCTATAGAATACCACACACATTATGCCTTATTTACCAAGTTTAAAGACAATACGAAAAAAATCAATGAAAACAACCCAAAGCACAGATCCTGAAGCCAGACTATCTGGGTTCAAATCCTAGCTCTGTCACCTAGTGGCATGTAACCTTGGGCAAAACACTTAACCTCTGTGCCTGTTTCCTCATCTGTGAGATGGAAATAATAACCTACCTCATGGGGTGTTTAGGATTAAAACCTGTAAAGTCCTTGGAACAGTGAACATGCCAAAAAGAAGGAACAGGTGTAGGAAGAACAGAATTAGTAATGTTCTCGTTCTTAAGGTGGTTTGTGGGTGCATGAGTACTGAAGATACAGATCCATTTATTTTTTCCACATATCAATATTTTTAAAATTTTATATTGGAGTATAGTTGATTTACAACATTGTGTTAGTTTCAGGTGTACAGCAAAGTGGTTTAGCTATACACATACACATATCTATGCTTTTTCAGATTCTTTTCCCATATAGGTTATTACAGCGTAGTGAGTAGAGTTCCCTATGCTATACAGTAGGCTCTTGTTGATTCTCTCTTTTATATCAATATTTAAAATTTAAACAGGAGTGAGCTGTGCCATGACAAGGTCCTGTATACTCAGGCTCAAGAATAAGACACCAGGTCAACGATGTTGGCAGCCTGAATGGTCACGTACCTGGTTCTCAGCTTGTCACCCCCCGATTCCATCCAGTTTCGGAGCAGGCTGGAGATGGGTCTTTCTTCATACTGCTTGGTGTACTGAGCCAGCAGTTCCTGAACCACAACCTGCACATAGAGTTTATCACTTGTCAGCCATTTGTCAAAAACGCAATAAATGACAGAGTGTCTTTAACTGCTGCAGCAAGGTAAGGTCCAGCTACTTCTAGCTAACCCTTTGGAAGGACCCAAAGACAAGACTCATCCTTCATGAGGCCTCCACTTCCCCACAGCAGGTGTGTGGCCCTTACTCACCAACTCTCCCTCCATTCCCCATGGCCAGCTTAACTAGCTAACTGCTCTCTTTTCCCTTTGAGGCATCAGCCTTTAATGTGGTCCCAAGACCAACCATTTTAGGTGACACTTCAGATAAAACCTACTTGCCTTCCCTGGACCAGATGGGTGGCTGGTCTGTTTTCTTTTTTGCCTCTGATATTCTACGGTTGATTAGGCCTTTGGGGAATCATACTGAAATGTACAGTAAAACAATCTCCATCAATTGCTTTCCTCACAGTTTTAAAGTTATAACGTGGGCCTAAAACACTGCATGCTTGTCCAGGTTTGTTAAAAGAAGATGTCCAGGGCTAGGCTGCTGTAGAGAGAGGCCCAGGTGACGGTGAGCAGCAACTGCTAGGCACGTCAGTGAGGCCACCTTGGGCCAGCCTGCCCCGCCGAGCCTCCAGCCGACTGCCAGGCAGGAGTGAGCCCAGGCGAGGCCAGCAGAGGAATCACATCACGAGAGCTCAGCCCAAACTGCCAACCTACAAACGATGAACTAACAATTGCGTGTCGTTATAAGGCAGTAACTTTGGGGGTGGGGTTATTACACAGCCGTAAGTTGCTTATTCATTCTCATATGAGTACCAATTTTAGAATATTTCCTTCTTCATTTCACATACATTCATGTTTTTATATAGATTACATAAAATGTTATAATGCTTTCAATCAATAGGATATCATAAATGATATTTTCGGTTCACAATCTGTTTTGGATTCTATTTATCTGTTTAATGGCTGTATAATATTCTTTGGAGAAATCATACCTAATTAAACATTTCCATTCAATTAGATATTTATGTTGTTTCCAATTTTATGCTGTCATTAATATCCTTGGTATCAATATATTCAGACAAAAAGCGCTGTCCTCTTTTTGATTATTACCTGAGAATAAATCCAATGAGCTTGACTGATGCAATGGTTCTTAAAGAGGGCCACCCTGACTATGAGAGGGATGCTGGAAACTTGTCACGGCACATTTGCCTGGGTGACTTTACTGGCATTGGTGGGCAGAGCCAGGCAATGCATGGGACACTCTAACCCAACAGAGGACTGTGCCACATCCAGTGTCCTGTTGAATGCCATGCGCTCACACTCATGAAGCCAATTGATAACCCAGAGCCTGACTCTTACACTAAAGCTTTCAGATTCTCCCCAACCTGGGTCTGTGGAAGATTAAACTCCCATGCCCCCTTGAATTCGAGGCAGCCATGGGACTGGCTTTAGGTCAGTGACATGTAAGCTGGTGCGATGTTCCCAGTTATGATTGGTCCATAGCCTGGACTTTGGTCTACATTGAAGATGCTACAGCAACTCCATGTATAGAGGCATTGTTAAGTCTTACTATGTTGTTATGCTTATTACACATTTCTTTTGTTTCTTTGAAGTATTGTCTTGAATTCTTGAAATCATGTGTCTAGATAAGTTATACTACCCATGACTTCATTTCAGGATAATAAAGGGGGTGTCACAAAATATTTACTATGAAAAAGAGGGCATTAGGTCCAATGAGCTTGAGGATCACCGTATTATGGGTCAAAGGACCTAACCTTTATTGTGGCTTCTGCTATACATAGTAAGTGTAAAAATCGAACACTACCAGCAATGGGAAAATGGGAGAAATTAACTTTGACTAGAATTAAACTTAAAATGATATAGCAATCAAGGTCAGTTTCACCAACATCACTAGGATTAACACATCCTTTGTTTTTGTTCATCTGTTAAAGTTATGATGGCTCTAACTCCATCACCCTTTGTTACAAGAGCAAAAACATTCCCAGCATTAAAAATTGGTCTGATTCCCACCCCTCCCCTCATACTTTTACTTGCTTTATTTTTCCACATTGAATTTATTGCTACCTGAGGACAGAGAGCATTACAACTTGCTATTGGTTTCTTGTCCTTCTGCTGCCTGGAAGGCAAGTGCCAGGAGGTCGGAATTTGTTCATCTTTGTGCCCTCAAACAATGTGCAACACAGAGACAGGAGTTGAGGAATCTTTCTTAAATAAGTGAATAAATAAATAAATCTCCTTCCTATGTTTAGTATCTCATCTGATCTTTTCAATTCCTTAATAATTTCCTTTAACTTTTGTCTCTACGTCCACCTTTCTGATTTAAGCAACTTACATTGGGAAAATCAACTTGTTTTAGCTAGATTTAAAATTAGAAGAACACAGGGCTTCCCTGGTGGTGCAGCGGTTCAGAGTCTGCCTGCCGATGCAGGGGACACGGGTTCGTGCCCCAGTCCAGGAAGATCCCACATGCCGCGGAGCGGCTGGGCCCGTGGGCCATGGCCTCTGAGCCTGCGCGTCCAGAGCCTGTGCTCCGCAACGGGAGAGGCCATGACAGTGAGAGGCCCGCGTACTGCAAAAAAAAAAAAAAAAAATTAGAAGAACATAATAACTCAGTTTAGGTGCTAAACTTAAAAGATAGACACACTGGGGCCTAGCTAATATCACAAAAGCAGATTCCTCAGTTTAGATCTTTGCTCCTTTCTCTTTACTTTTTGCTCCTTGCTTTTGGAATCATTCCTCTTTTTCTAGGTCATGAAACAAGAAAACCTGATTTTTAAAAATGAGTTTATTTTCTGCTATTGATGGCCCTTGGTGAAGAATTAAGTGGTTGAAGCTATCAGCTACCATGGGGTTTGGGCAGGACAGTCTCTAAATTCAGTACTTTATTTGATAAATGACCAGGGGGAAGCAAAGATAGATCAATCACCCTCTCAACTGAGCGTGCAATGAAGATGTGCTTTTTTAACCTCATGTATGTGTTCCTGAATACATTATAACATATATATAAATTATATAAAAAATAATAAAATTTAAAATATAAATAAATTATATAACATATAAAATATATAATATACTATATTTAAATATATATAATTTTAACTTTCTATTTTAAAATAATTATATACACAAAAAGTTGCAAAATTAAAATAGAACAGAGAGGTTTTGTATAGTCATCACCCAGATTAGCCCAAAAGTGATATCTCACGTGCAATAATGATGATCAAAACTAGGAAATTCAGTAAAATTTGTATACATTGAATGTTTTAGTTGTAACAGAGATTTCATTATTTAAAAATGAACCCAGTAGTAAAATAAACCTATTTTATAAAATAAAATATGTTTCCTTTCAATACAAGTAATTACATCCTTATCTAGGTCTGGTGTTTTGAAAACTTACACCAGACTTTCTTAAGACAACCTGTGAGGTTATTTCTTTCCAGGTGATTGTTTCTGTGGTGGTGGTGTTTTTGTGGCTCTTCACACAGTTCTCTTGTTCAACATGTGAATACTCTTTATTTTCTTCTATTTACTTGATAAATTCTCAGGGATTGAGTCCTGCTGCACCTGCTCAGGAGTCCCTTTCTTAAGAGAACTCCTGGGGACTAAGCAGCTAGAACAGCTATGTTCTTGCCTTTTGTAAAAGATCCCATCTGCAGAAGGAATCAAGCTAATCTACAGCCAACATTTGGAAGCCATGAGCCTGAGCAAGTATGCAGAATAATGACATCACAAACGTGCATTTGTAACGAATATCCTACGCATCAGGGAACACTGATTATGGAGCATCAATAAAAATTACTTTTTAGGTCGAATGGCTTTTCAAGGCCTCTAGGAAGCAACTAGCATTTCTACATGCTGAGTATCTCACTGATTTATGCCAGCTACAGTGAAACTTGGATTTAAAAGTCTAACAAGTAGTATCTGGTACCAAGGCAGAAACGCTTAGAGTCAATTAGGATAGCAAACACGGCCTCTAAGGAAAAGCCAGCAGATGTCATCCGCTCTATAACAGGACAAGGCAGGTAGTGAGGCTGCACTCAGGTCTATACCACGTAGGGAGATGGATTCACTCAAAGTGGCAGTACTTGTGGCAATGGGGTCCCAAATCATGCCCCTAGGCAGGACCGGCTATGGAATTTGGGACCTGGGGCAAAACAAAAATGCAGGGTCCCTTGTTCAAAAATTATTAAGAATTTCAAGATGGTGAGAGCAGAGCAGCAAACCAAGCACAGGCCCTTCTGAGCACGAGGCCCTGTACGACTGCACAGATTTTGCCCCACGAAGCTGGACCTGGCCCTGAGGGTCCCAGGAGGATGGGCAGACACAAAAGTAACTGCGTGTTCTGTGTTTTTATTACAGCTACTTCTGGCAACTCAAGGTACCTTAGGGCAGCTCAGGTGTCACCCAGGGAGTGAGGTTGCAGAAAAGGCCAACTGGACATGATCCTCCACTAAGGACGTTATTTTCCTCTTTTAGATGCTGGATATCCCATCAAGGTAAGATTTCTTAGAGGACAATCTGTAAAGATTCCCTGGCTAGAAGGAAAGAAAAAGAGAGAAAGAGAGGAAGGAAGGAAGGAAGGGACAGAGGGCGGAAGGAAGGAAGAAAGAAGAAAAGAAAGAAAGAAAGAAACAAAGAAAGAAAGAAACAAAGAAAGAAAGAAAAAGAAAGAAGGAAGGAAAGAAAGAAGAAAGAAAGAAAGAAAAGAAAGAAAGGAAGGAAGGAAAGAAAGAAGAAAAAGAAAGAAAGAAAGAAAGAAAGAAAAGAAAGAAGGAAGGAAGGAAGGAAAGAAGGAAAGAAAGAAGAAAGAAAGAAAGAAAGAGGGAAGGAAGGAAGGAAAGAAGGAAGAAGGAAGGAAAGAAGGAAGAAGGAAGGATAGAAGGAAGGGAGACAAGGAGACAGAGAGAGAGAGGGAGGGAGAGAGATTGATTTCCGTGCAGAAAATGAAGTCACTTTGATGAGCACAGAAGTACAGATAAAGGTTCAGAAGGCTCTCT